TAATGAATATGCTTTTCGAACTAGTGTTTCGATTCGTACTGCTATTTGCTTGATGGTTTCGTTTGGTAATCTGCGAATTTCATTACATAAAACTCTTTGTTGTTGTTTGTTTCTTTCGGAGTCAAACATTTTTGAGAATTCCTGTGTAAACCTTTTCCAGTTTGATTTTATTTCTAGAGGTAGTACTGAAAACCATTTTTGGGCTGCGCCATCTAAGGTTGTTTGTATTAACGCTGTGCGTCGATGTATCCAATTTTGATGTAGTGGCGTATTAATTGGTTCAGGTCCAATATTTAAAATCAGGTTTGCTGTTACTGCATTTAAATAATCTTCTACAGAGTATTCAGGGTCTGTTCCTGTGAAAACCATTAAAGGTTTGTTTGATGTTATTGATGATCCACCCATAAGGTATGGATTCATTGTCATTTGTAATGATTCTGCTGCATTTGGCATTTGAGAAAAATTTGAAAGTTGGTTTCTTGTTATTTCATATTGTTGGAGATAATATGGGAGTGGTATTTCATTTTGCATTTGTGATGGTTGATACGAGTGTGCAGTCATTGGATTTTGTTGTTGAATTGGTTGAAAAGATTGTGTATTAATTGGATTTTGTTGTTGAATTGGTTGTTGATGTTGTGCATCTATTGATTGTGGAGAAAAATTTCTATGATTTGTACGTGTTCTCTGTATTCCTTGTCTACGATATTCTTGAGTATTTTGTGCAAATATATCTGGTTGTAAGAAATCATCATCTGAGGATAAATAATCCATTTGATAAGATGTCTGTTTTTTATTTTTATTTTGTTGAAAAAATGGGTAATTTTCACTGTGATCCTGTGGAGGATTTGTTTGGAAATTTATTGAATTAGGTTGGGTCATTGGGTTATCCCAATTTCGAGATCTTGTATATTGGTTAAAATTTCTTTGTGGTTGGTTATATGTTTTTGATGGATGTGTATAATTATAATTATGGTCTGCAAAGTTGTTTCTAGTGAATGTTTTGCGTGTTTTTGATGGTATTGTCATGGGTCTGTATGTTTGGTAATCCATATGTGAATATTTAGGGGCAACCGAAGGTTTAACGGTTGATTGTAAGGTTACCTGTGTTTGTGAAGGATTTGTATTTCTTGGTGTTGTCAAATTTGGGCGTATTGGTGAAATACTTTGTTGTGTAGTTGTTGTGTGTACAATTTCTTCATTTATGAAGTGTGATGGTGTCTGGATATCTTGTTGAGTAAGATTCCTAGTTCCATTGAGGTTTTCATTGTGTATAACTGTAGAGTTTAAACTATTATTTTGTGTATCGGGTAAAAATGTATTATAGTTTAATGGTGTTGCATCAATTGTTAATGGTATTACTCTTACATAATCTCTTATGTAAGATATTGTACCTATTGCTTGACTTGAGATTGATTGTGGAAAGCTTATAAATGCGGGATGAGACCATTCGGGGTCCCAAACATAATCTGATTGTTCTGTGATAGCGGTATCATCGTTCGAGTTTTGGGGTCTAAAATTTTTTCTTGCTTGTGCAATTAAATCAATATTGTGTGTGAAATAATCTATTATGAACCATGCCAAAATTTTTTGTAGATCGTGTTTTGTATGTTGTGAAACGTCGTCTTTCGTGAAATTTTCTTTAATGATGTTTAAATAACTAGAGAGTAGTGTGATTTCATGTCGTACTCTTAAATGTTTAGATGTTTCTGTCGGTGAGACATTTGTTATTGGGATTTCGTTTTCTAATATCGAAATATAACTATATATTATTGCGAAAACTTCATTGGTGAATATGGAGTTTGCTCTTTGTGAGTTATGATATTGGATGCTTTTTATATATTCTGAAAAAACTTTTGAAAATTCTAAATCAAGATCGTCTGTTTGAATTGTATATTTTCTATTATTATGGTTTGGTGAGGTGAATTCTATGGAGTAGATTCCATACTGTTGTGTTATGTTGCATATATCTTTTAAGTAGTGGTCTATGATTTGTCTTTTGATTTTTACATCTGGGAACTCTGTTTTACATGGACTGATTCCGGGTTCAAATAAATTTACGAGTAAATTTTGACAAAATATGTGTTGTCCTCTATCAGTATCTGCATCTACTATAAAAGGAAAGATTTCATCATCATCTGGAGTTTCGTCACCTGGGGTGTGCGTTGAACTCATTTTTCCGTTCGATGACTGTTAATATGTAATTATTAATGTGTCGAATTGGTTGATTCCAATTGTATAGATGTACTGGTTTGTGTTTGTACTGTTTTTTTATTCTTCTTTTTCCTCTTTGTGATGAATTTGAAGTTGTTTCTGAGTCAGAAAAATATAATTGATCGTGAAGTGGGCAATTTTTATCTATTGATTCTTTTAGTTTGTAAAGTTCGTCTAAACTGTTGGTTTCTGATTCTGAAAATGCGTTTCGATTTTTTGAAAATCTTTTTCGTGTTATTTGTCTTTGTTTAGTTATTATTTTCCTCTTTAGTGTTTGTCGTTTTGTGCGAATGTATCCAACTGTTTGTGTATGAGGTGTGATTACAAGGTCGTATTTTTTGTTATCTATTTCACAATTGTGTAAAACGATTGTTTGTTTATTTCCTAGGTTTTTAAATGACATAAGGTTTTGGATGACGGATGCAAAAGGTTGTTAAATGATTTCTATTTTCCTAAACAGTTAGTTCTTACGATTTTTTGGTTAGCTTAACCTGGGTCTATTTGTTCAGGGTTGGAGAGAAAAGTATATCGATTCCGAAGAATGATTTTTACTTTCTCGTGACTAGTATAAGCTAAGGTGTTAACTTACTTAATCTTACTTAGGGGTAGTGATTGTGTTCAAGGGTTGGAGAATAGTAAATCGATCCACAAGGTTCAGGTATAATTAGAACGCGAGTAGTTCGTTAGATACTATTTTAAACTTACTAAGTCTAAGATTTATCCTGGGTCTGGTAAGAGGGGGGGTCAAGTGAAGGATGAATAACCGAAGTTCTTCACTATTTATCCTAATTTGAATGATTAGTTTTGTTTAAAAATTTCTATTAGTCTTAGGTCTTTAGAAAGGGTTGGGTAGTGAATCGACGTTTGAGGTCGTTAGACACTAATTAAGTGGGTGGGGGAGAACAAAGTTGTTCTGTTTGATCCAAGGATAAGCCTTGATGATCAAATTTGAAATTTAATTAAGTAGAAAATGATTTAAGATCCAAGGATAAGCCTTGATGATCTGGTTTTAAAATTAAGTGAATTTAAGTTTTAATAAAATTTTAAATGTGTGTAAAGGAAAGATTTAGTGTTTTGATGATATTAGTGGGTTTATGATTGCTGTTATCTTTTAGGTGATGGAGCTGGAACAACAGGATGATTTATGATTACTAACCATTTATTGTCATGCTACTAATTTTTATTTTTTATTTTTCAATAAATATTTTTCAAACATATTTTGTATATTACTGCAGAGTTTTAGGAAAACGATCTTAGATCTTTTTATCAATCGTTATTGTATATTAATAATTTTGTTTAGCGCCTGAAATGATTTTGAAGATTAGCTTCAAGGTTTTATGTTTGCAAATGAAAATCTAAATTCATTGCCAGTAGTATTCTAAATATAAAAGTTTGTTCTGGTTTTTGCCTAACTATCATATAGCTATATGGCAAGTTTCTACTTTGTCGTATGTCGTCTCTGGTTCGAGGTCTTCTTCCAATTCCGGGTAGTTCTGTTATGGTTCGGAATATTGGCTCTGATCTATTGAGTCGTAGAGACATTTCGATTAAATTATTGTCGTATAACATTTTGTAAATGTTTTTGTCTAATTTCTAATCTATTTTGGTTAATTCTAAGCTATTAAGGTCTTGTTCGAGACTTATGGTCGCACCAGATGAGTTAGGACCGATGTGGTTAACTCATAGAGTAATTTCGGATAGGGTACACCGTCTGCTCGTCACGCTATCTTATTTTCGGCCGGATAGATTCGTGCAACTTCTTAGTCTAATACCGATCCTAATCTTACTCTTATACTATCTAGTCTCAGGTTGTTTAACTAGTCTCTGCTAGGCTCAATAGATCTAGGGTATACTGGTTTATTGCGGCTGCTGAAGTGCTCGGGAGAGTCCAACTAATTTCTAAGTTAAATTCAAATCTCTCTGGTGCTGAAATTACAAGTAACTTCAGCACTTACAAATAAGTGGGTTGTTAGTTAGATGGATCATGATTGGTTAATATTAAATACTTTACATTGGTAAAACATTTAATTTATCCAATCATAAAATGTAGTTTAGATCAGGTTCCAAAAGCAAAAAATAGGTCAAACCTAGCTTTAAAAAAGAGTTCTAGTTGTCATATTTTATGATGCACTCATTACAGAGAACTAAAGATTCGAAGATCAAAGTTTGGGCACTAAAATACTTTTAAACTTTCAAGTGTCGAATCTTAATGATAAAGACTTCAATAGCGTAAAAATCGTTGCTTTCCCGCGTTGACCAAAAATGCTAGTCATACAATTTCCATATATGGAAAAATGCTAGTCATACACTTTCCATACAATTCTTTACGTACAGAAAATTGCATGAAAGGCCTATGATTAGTATTTTTTCATATATGGAATTTGTATGACTAGCATTTTTCCATAAACCAAAAATATTGATTTTTTACCTTTTAATTTCTCAAAATTTTTTGGTTGTGTTCGTAACCGAACACAAATGACATACACCTTGGTTACATACACAATGTTTGTTCGAGTACGTAAATCATCTTGCGGTTGAAAAAAAAACAAAAAAAAATTTTGGGGGCAATTTCAAAAATACTTTGAAAAACTTTTGTTGCCGCCATCAAAAAAATGCTAGTCATACAATTTCCATATATGGAAATTGTATGATTAGCATTTTTTTGACAAAAAGTTTTTCTTTTTTATTTAGTACGATACACCAAAATGTATGCCAAAACAAGAGAAAAGTTCTTCGAAAATTCGATGACACCATTTTAGCAAAATGTATGAAATTTGTATGATTAGTATTTTTTCATAGACTTAGTCAATGGAATTGTATGATTAGCATTTTTGGTCTATGGAGGTCAACCCGGGTTTATCTGGCGTTTATTTGTATTACCTCACCTTGAATGAATCAAAAAACAACCGAACCTATCTTTATCGCTCCTTCACACTTCGGGGTTGGAGCAATTGAAGGATTTAAGAATGAAAGAGATTTCGTGCGAGCTGCCAAAAAAACAAAAAGAAGAAAATTAGAAACTATGATTTATGCTGATTTTGAATGAGCTAAAAAATGGTTTCGTGGATTTTTTCGGGCGGGCTTGAGGAAGATCGGATGGTTTTTTGGTCGAAGCATCTTCAGCCTCCAACCGCCATGCGAACTCCATCCCTCTAAACTGCTATAGTTTGATTAGAGGTTAATTATTACCAGAAAAGGTCAGTTCTTGATTATAATAACCAAGAGTGCAAGAGACCAGGTCCAGGCGGTGTGTTATTCAAACTTCAATTGAAACCATTCTAATAGTGATTTGAGAGCTGAAGCTGTACGTGTCAAATCGTGAATGCGTCTTAAGTAAACTCTTGCAATTCATACCAACCATATGTTTGTTTTCTTGATTCTTTAAAAACTGAAGTGGCTTTTACGCATAAACTAATCGATATGGTGTAAGCCACCCGTACGTGTTTGTGTTTCAAAAAATTGTGATACATAATCATATTTAGCTTTCTTTATCATAAACAAGATTGCGAGATTTTAAACTTTTTCTTGAATTCCACACTAATTATATAAAATTAAACAGTTTTTTTGCATTTTAAAAACTATCGCTGCTACACGTTTTTCATTCAGTGCTGTTTATGTAATGCTTATGCGCTGAACAAGAAACGCGGTGTGCTCGATACAACATAGGCTCCAAACGTTTTAAAACGTCATTGTATGTTTAATATTGTTTAAACACGTTGGTGTAAAAACGCTCATCGACACGCATATTTGATGCTATACAAGCGTTTACGTTTTATTTATTGTCTTATACAAAAAAATTACAATTATATTGAATATTTCGCCTTATTTTAAACAACTTTTCATTTTGAAATAATGATCAAATCAGTTATCAACGACCATCTAGAACGATCAAGGTAAAGTACAAGCTTGCTACTTTTTATCAGAAAGTGGCAGTCGAAGCTGAAAAAAGTGACAGTCCAAGAGTTTCATAGTTTTCATCTAGTTTCTGGACAAAACCGAAAATAATGAATCGTCTGCATTAATAAGTTCAATTCCTCTTAGTGTACCTTCCCTTTGTACCTATTAACTAGTCCCCCCACTCCTAACAAAAAAATATAGTTCAACAGTTTAGCGTGGGCGAGTATTATACCTATATAACAAGTTAAAGATATCCTTTTTTTCTCTAACAATGGTATGATGAGAATTGGGCGATCGGGTAGTCTGGGCTGACACCCTTCGCAATTCAACCTTTTGTTCGCTAAAAGATTCAGATTTTTAGTGAAAGCGGCAAACGGTTGGTTTATTCTAAATGCGTCTTGCTTGCATATCCTCAAAAGTTGAGTGCAAAGTCGAGCAGTTTTTTTGTCAAACCTTCATGAACGGCCGGCAACGGCATTTAAGAGAAGTCCTAACATTTCAACCAAAAAAATTTTGACGCAGATCTGGAAATTCTTATTAGCAAAATCTTCGAATACATTTTAAAAAAAGCGCCGCCTCGTTAAAATATTCAAATGAGCGAGTAATCTTAACATTTTTTAACTGTTAGTTTTTTTCCAGGATTTCTGTTTTGTGCTCGACCGGCAAAATCCGAGAACACTTTTTTGACGACATCAAACAACGAACAAACTACGAGTTATTCCAACGAGGATTACGTTATAATAGAAATGGCCGCTGTCTCGGAACTCGAGAGGAAAACTCTTACGTGTGGAAAACGTACAGCGAAGTAGACAAACTGGCCAGTACTTTTGGAACTCATTTGGTGAAATTTGGTCTGGAGCCACACAAGAATGAAGAAAGTCTGGTGGGAATCTATTCCAAAAACAGGTGGGAGTTCGACGTGACTCAGCTGGCGTGTGCGTATTACTCGTTGGTTCCAGTGCCAATCTACGACACACTCGGGAAGGAAGGATGTAAGCACTTCGCCACTTCCATAGTTTTTGAATTTTTGCTTTTTTCTAGTTATAAAATTAGCAAAAATAAAAATAATGAGGGTAATAGTTGAATGAATAAATGAATTAAAACTAAGAACTGATTGTTAATTAACACGCATTAACATCCCAGCTCAAAGGTCAATTGTATCCAAACTTGGCAAGTTTCTTCATGCTTATGACTGCTTACAAATCGACTTTAGAGTTATAAAGATAGCCCTGGACTCTTTAAGTTCCTGGCAGGAAGTCCAAAATTTTTCCCTCGCTATATAAGCCGGGGTAACACGTATTTTTATTCCAACTCAAAGACGAATGGTTAGGTATCTAACTAACCAAGCTAAAGAAGCACAAAATATGAAGCGATACCAAAACTTTTGATCCCGTTTGGCCCAGCAGCGGACAATACAAAAATTTCCAGCAATTCACCAATTCTCTAAAAATATGAAGAATGAAGCATTACCCCACCGAAGTTTCTCCGATTATTATCTATTATCTGGCTATTACTTGCTCATAGCGTAATAATAACCAATTATATTGAAATATTTTGTTTGTCAGTATAAAATTCAAAAACAACTGATTATAATTGATTTAATGGATTTTAATGTTGCTATCTTTTTGGCAATAAAATCACAAAATCAATTATAAAAATATTGTTCCGTCTTTTGAAGAAAAAGTGAAATATATATGTGCTCCGGGTGGGTTTTTATTCAGACCAATTTTACAAAACTCTGTTCTCTCGGGAGAAGAATCTCGTAATCTGTATGGACCCAGTCGACTGTGCACACCACTATTGTGACCTGCCATGCATCTGCCTGAACTGTTTGTTTTATAATTTACACGCATGGCGATTTATCTCGCACTTCAAAATCGTTCCAAAGTGAATAGAGGGATCTAATTCTTTTTTTAAAAATCCATACACAGCTCAAAATGTAACTTCAATTTTAATATGATCAGTCTAAAATTCATAGTTTTGCCAAAACTTGACTTACAAAAAATTTTTCGAGACCAACTAAATGACAATCGGAACATTTCAAGCTTTGCCTTGATACGAGCCGTCTTGTTATTGACTATGATCAAATTGTTTGTCTAAAATTAGACCGATATGAGCTGATAGTTTTCAGTTAACGTTTTTTGCGCGTTCCAAAACAGACATTGAAATATTTCTTCTCGCGAAACAGAATTTGGGTTGGATTGGTTGTGCATTCTGTGCATTGTAAGTGGATCCGCAATTTGTAAACGAGATCCATAAATTGTAAGTACAATTCGCAAGTTGTTAGTGGAGTCCGCGATTTGTTTGCATATTCGGATTCCATTTACATATTCGTATCTATAAAGTGGCCTTTCAAATTGTATCATTTTTTACTAGAAGGTCACCAGCAAGTTCAACCTCAATTACCAAGTTGATCGGCTACCAGTTGAAAAACCAAATTTTCGATCTCAATTCCTGTCAAACACCCATCTCCGATCTCAATTCTTGTCAAACACCCAACTTTGATTTCAATTCCTTCGATCTCAGTTCCTGTTTTTTTTCCTCATCAAGATTTTATTGCCGGAGAGCCTTTCATCTCAAATAATGCCTTACTGATTTAGTTTCACTCTGAACTCATTTGCAGTTACTGCCCCTATTATTCGAATTCTCTCAATCATCCCATCCCAAATACTGCCTACCTGATTTTACTTCACTCTCCAACAACTAGATCAGTATTTGGGAATGACGGAATCCCAAATACTGAACGTTTTTGGCGATACGCACAGCATGAGCACAGCATGCATAAAGCACTCGTCCAACGCACAGCATAAATATACATATGTAAATTTTGTGTGTTGTGTTTCCGAACACTCTCGACCTAATAACTCCAAATAAAGAATTTATTCAATGTTGTGTTTCCAAAATTATGATCCTAAAAATTGCTTGCTCGGATATGTATCCCAAATACTTAAGGGCGGCATCCATCTTAGGTCGCTGTATTCCGCTTTTTATTGTTAAGTCCTAGCTTTTAAATTCCGCATTGCTATAGTTAAGAATTCCATGTCTAGCTGTTAAATGCTCACAAGCAAGTTCATTAATACAAAAATCCAAATCCACTTACAGTTTCCAGAATCTGTTTACATTTGTGGATTCCGCTTACAAATTTTGCGGATTTCACTGGCATTTTGCGGAATCCGCTTACAGTTGCGGACGCTAACACAAGCTATATTCGCTTGTTGCCGAATCCGCGACACAACCAATATGGTTAATTAAAACCAATCGAATTAACCATTTTATTCAGTAATTCGTATTTTCTTTAGCCTTATTAAATAGTTTCAGATAGTTGAAATGTTTACCGGGGTAGCAATGGTTGCCCCGCGATGAAATTGTCCGACAGAAGATATCACTTGCTCAAGACATCATCTTCAAAAAATCTCCTGATTGCGGATTCTCAAGCACGCCATCTTGATTTTCCAAATTTCAATATCTTGTCCCTACCTGGGGCCCGAATTGGTGCGGTCCAAAACTTCTTACCCGAGAAAGACAAATTCAACATCATCGCTCTGCTCATCGGCGGAAACGACGCCTTCAACGGAAAAGACCCCTCCAGTATACCTGCAGGCGACATTGCTGAAGAACTGTCGAAGCTAGCCGAGGAGCTGTGTGAACGAGCCAAAAAAGTTTTCGTCATCGGAATCCCTCATCGTAGTGAGAACCGAGCTCGATCTGCAAAAATAAACGAATTCCTAAGAAAGATAAAAGGAACTTGGAAGTTTAGAGGAGTGAGTGAAAAAATCCACAGCTCATATCATTTGAAAACTGACGAAGTGCACCTCAGTGAAGAAGGTCTGAAGGGCATTAAAAGTATTCTCAAGAATAAAATCTTATACGATAAACATTCGAACATCTGCAATACAGAAGGACATCTGGTATATTACGAGTGTCGTTTCAAGAACTGTCAGTGCCCCTATTAACGTAAGTAGAAATAGTGAACCGCAGGCCTCCCCTTTTCGGGAACCACCAGGTTTGTCTATTTCTTCTTTTCCCCTGAGTGAGCCACAGGCCTCCCCTTTTCGGGAACCACCAGGCTTAACTGTTTTTCTATCCATAGTATAAGCAAAAATGGGCAAAAACTGCAAAACATGTAAAAGAGGCTTTGCCAGCAACGAGAAAACATACACTTGTGTCGCATGCAACGCTCAAATGCATTTGGAACCAACTTGTGTTGGGTTGTCTCTAGTGGCCATAAATGGAATAAAAGAACTAGGGCCGAATGTCATGTTGCTTTGTAATACTTGTGTGCAAAATAATGAACGAGACAACTTTATAAGATGCAAAACCCTGGCCAACATAGACGAGAAGCTCTCAAACATTGATGTAACTGAAAGCCTTAAAAGCATGGAAAGAAGACTTACCGATTTAGTAGATCAAAAAATTGGAAATGCAATGAAAACGACATGCGATAAAGTGGAAAAAACTTATAGTGCCGTTGTAGCTGCTGAAACCACCACCCGGATAAATCAAGCTCAAACCACTCAACATGCTGCCAGATCTAACTCTGATCACAACATAAATCAAAGTTTTAGGATACAAGGGGTCAAAGAGGACCCTGAGAAAACAAAAGGAGAAAACCTTGTCCCAACAAATGACGAAGTAAACGAAATACTAGACATAATTGGAGTGAAGCCGAAAATAATAGAACTAAAACGACTGGGAAAATTTGATCGTAATCGAATGAAGCCAAGAACACTGCTGGTAACTGTACCTAGCGAACATGAAGCACGACTAGTACTAGCAAAAAGCCGAGAAAAGCGAGAACAATTGGTCGAAAAAGAGGTCTACCTGCTACCAGCATTGACCAAAGAGAGTGCAATTAAAGAGAACGAAATCCTTAAGAAACGAAGACAACTACTAGATGAAGGCGTTCCTCGCGAAAAGCTGAAAATAAGGAATCTAGAATTGTTCAATGATGGTGTGAAAGTAACTATTGACACTGAAGTTCAGGAACCCCAGCATTGACTAGGATTCCTCAACATTCTGCAACTAAATACTAGAAGCCTAATCAACATAGAGAGAAGAACTAAGCTAGCAAATGCAATTGCAGTTGGAAATTTTAATGTCATATGCTTAAGCGAAACTTGGCTTAACGAGAATATTCAATCATCAGAGCTTTTTCTAAGTGAATATAACATCTATAGATCTGATAGAGCTATTGTGAGTGGTAAAAACTGTCACGGAGGCAGCCTAATAGCTGTCAAGAATAGTCTAATTACCGAGGACTTATCCACCAAACATGACATTCCTGATTCATGTGTGCTATGTAGTATAAAACTTCATCAAACTGAAATGATAATTGGCTCATTCTACAATCCGCCAAAAAACAGTAATTACAGATACAAAGTGCATGAATTTGAACAACTGATCAAAGCCATTCCTAAAAACAAACCGTTTCTCTTATGTGGGGATTTAAATTTCCCAGAAACAAACTGGAACACCCTCACCAGTACTGACGAGGAAGAAAACCAAATACTGCAAATTTTTGAAAATGGACTCTTTAGGCAGGCGATAGATTTCCCAACATGTGTGAAGAACATACTAGACGTAGCCTTCTATCGGAATTGCTATACAAGTGCCGAACAAGATTTTAACGTTTCCAAGATTTATGACTGCTCAGATCACAATGCCATAATGTTGTCTGTTGAATGCACGGTATCAGAGCCGAAACCATACTTGGAAAATTTTAGAAGTTTTGGAAATGCCGATTTTGAAGGAATAAACAATTTTATAAACGAGAACCCATTTGAACCAGTATGCCACACAAACATTAACAAAATGCATGAGGAGTACACCCAATATTTGGATGAAATCATTAAGAGTTTTGTGCCTCTCAGAACAAGACATAGGCAATCACTTCCACCTTGGATAACAAGTAGCACTTCAAATTTGATCAAAAAGTTACAAACAAAACGGCAATCATGTATACTCAAACCGACCAACTACAGAAGACAACAAGTTAAACTGTTTGAAAATTTAGTAACTGAATCATCGGAAGTGGACAGGAAAAACTACCAAGAGGAATTGTTTAGAACACGGAACACTAATGTAATTTTTAAACACCTAAAGAACTTGAATAAACATACAAGTCTTCCTAAGTTACTCATAAAAGATGAAGTTGAAAGCACAAATCCAAACGAACAAGTCAACATGCTAAACGACTTCTTTCATTCAGTTTTTAATCCTAAAGAAAGTTTTAGTATTAGAGATATTCAATTTGGAAATCCCTTGTTAACGAATTTTGATATATCGAAAAAGACAGTAAGTGAGATTTTATCAACTCTGGACGTAACAAAGTCACGCGGCCCAAATGGGTTGCCACCTAGCTTTTTTCAGAAAACGAACCGCAATATGTGCAAACCGATGAACAAAATTTTGAGAAACGTAAAACGCCTACGAAAAATACCTGATTCATGGAAAACAGCTGCAGTTACTCCTGTTCACAAAAAAGGTGACCGAAAATTGGTGAACAACTATCGACCAGTATCGCTATTAAATATTGACAGCAAAGTCCTTGAAAAATGTATATACAAAGACCTGTACCCTTACTTTGCCTGGTATTTGACGAAACATCAACACGGTTTTACTAAAGGTAGATCAGTTTTGACAAACATGCTCTCCTTCCTGAAAGAAATATATGAAGCGCTTGACAATGACTCAAACGCAGAAATTGTAGCAGTCTACACTGACTTTGCAAAAGCCTTTGATAAAGTTCCGCATTTTGATCTACTCAAGAAAGTTGCACTTATAGGAATAGGAGGCTGCATGTTAGAGGTACTCTATGACTATTTGAAAAACAGGAAACAGTTTGTACGAGTAGACAATATCAGCTCAAAAGTTTTAGAAGTCACTAGTGGTGTTCCCCAAGGATCACTTTTAGGACCACTGCTCTTTTGCATTTTTATTAACGACCTACCTGAAGTACTCAAATTCTCTGAACCATATATTTTTGCGGATGATCTTAAACTACTTTCCATCAAAAAAACATCAATTGAAATTCAAGAAGATCTGGACAAAATTCAGCAGTGGGTAACTGAAAACAAAATGGAATTAGCACTAGATAAATGTGCAAAAGTAAGTTTTAGGGGCGGAGACGCCAACTCTATGCTTTTTGGTGTAGTGCTTGGAACATCGATGGTTGTGAAAGATCTGGGAATTTTTGTGTCGGGCGATTTAAGTTGGAAGGTACACATTGAAACAAGATTAAAGAAGGCAAACCAAGTACTGTACCTCCTGAGAAGAAACCTATCAGCAAAGATAAATACGTTTGTAAAGTTAGGCCTGTATAAGTCACTAATACTCCCAGTGTTATTATACGGACTCTCATGTACACATATATCGAGGGGGGATCAATTGCAGTTGGAGCGATTTCAAAAGAAAGCAATCCGGTGGATCACTGGAAATAAAACGGGAGTGTACATCAACGAACTACGCTTGCTAAACATTTTACCCCTGCCCATGTTCATCCAGCTAAATAACATCTTACTTCTTGCCAGTCTTGATTCTAATGAACGAAATGAAATAGTGTTAAACAGGCGAACCACACGGGCTAGAAATATAGAAATTTTTGAGATGCGAAAAGTGAGAACGGAAAAAGCGAGAAACGAATTTGTTTTCAGAACCAGTAGGATTGTAAATCGATTAGAACCATATATTCATTTTGATAAACGAATCGGCCTCAAGACGAGAATTTTAAACACGATGTGGAAATTTGTAAACGAGAGATTTTCAGAAATGACAACGTGCACGTGGCAATTATTCTGTGATTGTATCACGTGCAGAAACAAGTGGACATTGTTTTAGAGAAGACGCCGGGACCAAGACTCCCAACAGCAGTGCTGTGAATCCCCAACAACAACAACAACAACAACAACAACAACAACAACAACAAATGCCGACAAAATTTACGTTGCAGGTATTTGTACGCGTAATTCACGGAAACTTTGCAAATGGAATTCTCTTACTTTTGGAGCATGTTTAAAGACTTATATATGAAATCCAAGAACATACAGGCACAAAATTGTGCGCCTATCCAGTGCACTGTTTGGCTTCATAATTGTTTCTTATAAATTTATTTGGTCTCGTAATGTTTGTTACCCTCTATTTATTTTGCCAATTTACGTCTCTCTCCCGTTGGTAAGTAACCCTCAGGTGTTCGCTCTGAATGGTTGTATAACATCGAGAAAATGTTGAAGATTTTACTTCAAAGAACTCAAAATTTATAATTCATAACTTCTAAGTGTGAGTGGGAATTAATTTAAATGTTTTTAAAAATTTTTTACTGATGATTTCTAGTTAACAGTTAGCTCCACAATTGCTTTTAGAGTTAATTTCTCTGTTAATGTCTCACTTTACCTCCTAGTTTTTTGGGTCCAAAGCCCCGTATGTATTCCTTTTGGATTTCTTAGAAAACGCATTCTTTTGTTTTTTTCCCTCGAGAATTATGAACGAAATGAGTATGCTGAGAGGAGTGGATGTAAAGTTTTAAAAAATGAAAGCTCAAAAGTGTTATTGAACAAATCTACAGAGTTTGAGGCGGCAATGGGAAAGTACGGTACCTTCCCTTCCCCCTCCAAATTCACTACTAGAAGCAATCGCTTTTAATAAAACTTGATATGTACAGATTAATGATATTTGGACCCAAAAACTAACTGGGTCGAGGACGCGTTTTTATGTTCAGACCACCATGTGGCGCAAAAGTTAGCATGTCCAGACCGTTTGGACCAGAAGATGGTATGTTCAGGCATGCCGCGACTGAGATACGCTTTTTCCAGACTCAGTCTCCGACTTGCAACCCTGTCCAGACTATGGGTTTTAATTAACATCCCGATTGACGAAGTTGAAAAAGAAATCGTGGTCCTCGGCCCGGATTCTGCTTGACTTTGCACACTTATGTTGAGACTTTTCAGATTTTTACATGCGTTGCGACTATGAATTTTTGGTCCCACGCGGATCTATTCAGACTTATTAAATCTGATCATAAAAGCACGACATCGACCCGGGTAGGGAACAATATTGCTAATTTTTCCTTCGCGGAATTTCTAAATGCACTGTTTTTTTTCAGGTTCGTTCATCGTATCTCAGGGGAACATGAGAGTAATATGTGTGGATGGACTGAAATCTGCCGCCGAGTACCTGTCAATCATCGAGGGATCCCAAGTGGAGTGTCTCATCTATTACAGCGACCCCTCCGCCGAAGACACAGAGCTACTCTTCCAAGCAGGCATCCAAGTGATGTTGTTCCAGGAGTTGTGTTCTGTCGAGGCCACAGCAGATGACGGCAGTCCGATCCAAGTGGACCCTGCTTATGAAGAGGATCTGGCCACTATTTTGTACACAAGCGGAACAACTGGAATGCCAAAAGGTGCGCTTAAACCAATTTTACAAAACAACAAATAGTCGGTTACTGTGCAAGTAGCACATAATGTTCAGAATCAGAAAAAACAATAGGAAATAATTTTTTTGTTCAATATAGTGTTTTTTTTGTGGGTGTGATAAAAGAGTCGGAACGAAAAACTAAAACTTAGCCATATTCGACAGTGATAGTAAAATAGGCAAAATCAAGGGCAGATCTAGGATTTTCTCGAGGGGGCGGATTTTCAAAAAAAGTTCGAAAATTTTGTCGACCTTTTTTTTCAGGTCACCCAAAATGATTTTTTGAGCTCTCCCAAATCACCAAAGGCGCCTTTAGAAAAATTTTAGGGTTCGTCAGCCAAATACTGATATCTCAAAATAGTACAAAGAGGGAGCAGTTTTTTCTTGACACCGAGACCATTTTTTTGAAAATTTTTTGATGCCATTCGAATCCCGACTGAAAGGGCTTAATATGATATATCGCTCTACTCATTCCAACAATGAATATTTTAATTTTTTCATCTTGGAAAACAAAAAACTAAAACGCACCCGAACCGAATACAAAGTTCCGCCACAAAAAAAACTGACGTGGCAATCTTGACTAATGGCTACACAACACTAAGAAGATAACTTTTTTCTTAGTTTCCGGTTTCATATTTCTAGAAACAGCAATTGAATTAGGTGAAATATTTAAACTGATATTGAAACTACAAGAAGGTAAAGAATTGAATTAGAACTAATTGGGACTCAAACTCACTGTCGTCAAGTTCACTTTTTTTTAGTTATCCAGCCGGGGACAAAACCCGAATGTTTATTATGTAAGGTTAGCTAAGCTATGGTTATCTCACAAGAGTTCAATTTGTGAATTGCAGCGCACGTGCGAGTTGAACCCGCAATCATACGATTGCAGGGCGCCATCTCAACCGATGCACCACAACGCCACACTCGACACAATCGAGGTTTTTTGGAGACCGAATTACGGCTGATAGCGCGTGAATATGATACCATATTTAACCACTACGAGCGTTATTTCAGGTTGTCAAAATGGGTTGATAAAGACACCATATGCCATAGTTCTTTCCTTAGTTCCATAGTTCGTGAAGTGGTCGGAACAAAAAAATCTAAATCAATTTTTTTCTTGTGGTCAGATTAACATTTTATGTGAATTTTGTAACGATGGTAATCTTGCAAAAATCTTACAAGTTTCTTACAAGCTACAACTTATGTTCTGAGATGCTGCAAGATGCTAGCCCTCATCTAGAAAAAACTAGCTAACATCCTGCTCTCTCAAGTACGGGGTAAAGGGCTAATTTGGCGAATATTAATTTGTCTTCGACCTTAATTTTTAGTCTGTTCAATAAACTTATTTTTTTTTAAACTTAGGCCATAATTCTTTCCCCCATTAAAGCCAGTTGTATGTGAAAAACCGGCTGAGGTATAAACAAGCCGAAAATACCCAGAGCTAGTGCGTATAAGCCAGTCGCAAGTTACGTCATAAAGTAAATAAATGTCACTAGATTAAAAGTTAGTGTAAATGTGTGCGTTGAAGGGGTGATGTTGACGCACAAGGCGTTCGGAGTGGTGGTGGGCAGTGCTGACCTCTACCTGATCAAGGCCAACATCAGGTTGGACTCCTCTGACCTCTACCTGTCCTACTTGCCCTCCGCCCACTCATTCAACTCTGTCTGCACCTACGCCGTCTTCTACACTGGTACACAATGTCTCCATTTAGTTACACTTTGTAGTTTATTATAATTTATACATAAATATTGTGTTTATAACTTAATAACTTTTTTTTGCGGTTTGTTTGTAACCAACTGGACTAATTCAACGGACAAAATCACTTTTCAACTATGGAATGTACTGACCTTGTTTGTTGCACGTGAAAATATTCTTTAAATGGGGGCGAAAGCCTAATTGTCGGAAGCTTCCGCTGAAAATATGAATGATTTTCAGCGGAAAAAACTGTTCACTTTTCACTGGTTGTTTTTTTTGATCATTTCCAAACCTGTATCCGATAAATTTTAGATTTTTGATCGAAACTTAAGTCGAACACCTCTTTTGACCGAAACTTAAGTCGAACACCTCTTTTGACCCGGACAATAAGCTTCTTACCCCCCCCCCCTAAACCCCGTCTCTTTCCTATTGAGGTTCTGGAATCGGCTACTACAGTGGGAGTGTGTTGAAGTTGATGGAGGACATCCAGATTCTGAAGCCCACCTTCTTCCCAATTGTGCCCAGACTGCTTAACAGACTCTACGACCAAATCAACCAGGGCAAGTGAACAAGTGCAGCACAGCACACACTTCAAACCACTCCACTCGCCTCATTCAGTCTAAATTTATCGGCCAAATTAAAACTGATTTATGATCGGTACAGACAGCTATTAACAGAAAACCAATTTTGTGGCCCTTCTTTAAAATAACATGCAGTTTTTTTGGCGGTGTATTTCTTCGAAAAAACGAAAAAAAAGATGTTTGCGAGCAAATTTTTCATCAACGTTCTGATCCTTTTTTAAAAACTCCATCAAATTGTGTATATAGCAATCAAAAGTTCTGTCAGCTATGGCCCCAAAATGCATGTCATAAAATAAAACCAAATGGGGGATCTTTTGGTTGGTGAATCCGAATCCCTGAGGGGAGAAGAACGTCTTAACAGCCCTCCGTCGCTTTTCCTCAACTGCTAGTAAAGGGTTTTCTATGAAGCATAATGAGCAAATATTAGCCAAAAGGGAACAAAGTTTTTCACGTCAAAAAAATTGCATTTGCAGTGTTCAAGTGACAAAAAAGAGAGAAGGGAGAGGAGCTAAGCGCTAAGCCTCCTCCTGTAAAAATTTTAAAATTTTGCAAACTCTTCTCACAAAAAAGCATGTCTCGTAAATCAATGACGTTGAAGGAGTTCAACTAAACTGTGGTGTTCACTTCGTGACTTTAAATCTTCACTACAGGTGGAAAAAGGGAGATTAAAGGGTAAAAGTGTTTGAATTGTGGAAAGTGTTCGACAGCTTTCACATGACAGCAAGCGAGTGTTGTGAGAAACTGTGGCCTTAATGAATGGCTGCATGTATTGTTAGTGTCTTTGATGTGCACTGCAGGTGTGAAGGGGGCGTTCTGTCTGAAGCGGAAGTTGTTTGAGAGGGCGATGGAGGGGAAGCTGGAGCAGATGAGTCAGGGGGTGCCTGTCAGCAAGGACTCCCTCCTCTCCCGCATCGCATTCAAAAAGGCCAGAGAAGTACTCGGTCAGTCAGCCACTTTTCAACACAATCCACCAGTCGCATCTTTTTCCCTTTCCTCTTTTAAATTTTAATGTTTCTGTTCACATTGTCCGATTATAACAAAAATTGCGGGCTAATTAGGCCATTGTAGACACAGTGTGTCTTCATCCTTAACCTTTTACAACCCCTTTTACACCATAAAACTGATGCTAATGTGAGGCTGAGGAGGAGGGGGGGGAGGGGGGGTGGGTTGGTGGAGCCGCCTACTGCAACCTCATGTCATCAGAAGGCTCTGTGTTTTAAACATAGAAATTCTCAATAAAACGCTTCCACGAACACCACAACTGCTTTATTTTTTGTTTTGTATTCATACGTTTGTTCATTAATTTGAGAAGCAACTGTCTGTTTTTATCCTTGCAGGAGGGCAAGTGCGTGTGATGTTGATCGGCAGTGCTCCCATATCCGACAAGGTGCTCAACTTCGGCCGCGTGGTGATGGGCTGCGAGATCTTGGAGTGCTACGGGCAGACGGAAACATGCGCAGGTGAGTGAGTCATCATATTGGGAAATAGTTCAATAGGCCAACAAGCAGAAGGGCCACCAAACCGAATATAATATTACAATTCCAACAAGACAGAAATTGATATTGTTGCGCAACATAGCAACAGGTTGTAACTTTAGTTATGCAATTGTTGCGTAATTCTAATGTAATTTGCGTAATTCTGATGTAATTTCGGCTTCATGATACGGCGGTTTGTTGATCATCAGCCGGGAAATAGTTATGGATACCCATCATATTTCTGTGGCCACAATCATTTCTAGAGCGTTTTGGCATACAGTCGCATAGTATTGGTTTGGCCAAAATTGTCTAGTAAAAACAACAGATTAAAACGTGGCTACGTGGCTGGGAATGAATGTCCTCGTCTCCAGTGTTGCGATGTGTCGAAATCTTTAATTTTGCAGCCAACTTATAACTGTCTAGGTATACTCTTTTTTTGTAAGTTTTAACTTTCTCTGATTTCTTTTAACTGCGACATTATCCCGATTATACATTTTTTCTGCAATAAAGGACTCCCACCCCCTCCCCCTCCGTCTCAGATTCGAACACTCACAGCCCAAAGAGTCCCCCTTTGGTACTATTTTACGGCATCCGTTTCGAATGGCCTGCCGACCCTAAATTTTGCTGATTTACTTACTACTAATTCTAGTATATTAATTTTGAGGGGGACCGCGCGCCTATATGGTCTTAATGATGCTTTGAGAGAGCTCGGATATCAATTTGGTCGACCTAAAAAGACGTCAAGAAAAATTACGAAAACTTTTGAAATTCCTCCTCTCCCGCGTGAAATTTGTTAATTCGCCTCTGTATTTATCATCAAAAAGCAAGCCATATTTATGACAAGTTTAACTTTTTTCCAGTTCTTGATGTGATTTTTAAAAAATTTTGACATGAATTTTCAGCTGCTTTCGGTACACTTCCCTTCCAGTATGAGGCGGGTAGAGTGGGGGGACCTCTGCCTTGTTGCGAGTGCAAACTGGTGGACATTCCCGAGATGGACTACTTCGCCTCCAGAGACCAGGGGGAGATCTGCTTCCGAGGACCCAACATGTTTAGAGGCTACTTCAAGGACCCCGAGAAGACTAGAGAGGCCATAGACGACAAGGGATGGGTCCACTCAGGTATTCCACCACTCTCCCTCTCCCAATTCCCCCAAGCACTTCCTCCTCAAATACCCCTTTCCCCCCTCCCCGCATAATCTCGCATTGCTCTTTGTTATGGCTTTCGAAGAAAGAGCGAAGTATTTATGTTTGGGTTGGCTTTTTTGTTCGATCATTTTTCGACTTTTTAACAGAGCTTTTTTGACGGAATTTTTTATAGCATTTAAAAGATACTGTTGGATGGAGCTCAAATGTTAAAAAGTTCCACTTATTATCTCCATTCTTAACTTAATGAGTGTTTGAAAGTTGCTAAATTGGCCATTTTGGGACCATTAATGCGCGGTATTTTGCGTTCTTATAACAAGCGCAAACGGCAGATTAATTTGTTCCAAATTAAAATGATTCAAGCAGTTGGTCTTATTATGGTCTCAACAGGAGACGTTGAAAAGTTACTTCGCAAAACCAATCATTGTTGCCACCAAGAAGGCCCAATCCTCGAAGAATGATGAAAACCATGAACCACTTCCTATCAAGAAAACATTCGCCTCTGTGTGCCAATTTCAGTAACTCTGGCAGTTCAAAACCAGTAAATGATTTTAGTTCTTCATTTTTGGTCGCCTTTCCTGCTTTACTCTGTTAATAGTTGTTTAGTTGGCTGAATAGTTTGGGATCGCTGCTGCAGTTTATTTGTCAACGCTTTTTGGACGAAAACTTTTTTTGGCAAAGTAGCTCATTTGATACAACTGTTTTAGCCTTAAGAAATGTTCTGAGGTTTCGTTACTCAATGTCAACTGCATCGGAAAACGACTATGATTAATTATAATCGTTATCGTGCCTTGCAAAATGCTCAAACGGTAATTACATTTAGATAAAACACATCGTCATAAAATATAGCTGTGTCAATGTTCGATGTTCAAAAAACTCGTATGCGTCATAAGTTAGCTTTCCGTTGTTTTTGCTTGTCATAAGGACCTCCACTATTAACAGGAAGTCAAGAACAAAAAAAGTGGAGCTAATATCATACATCCTTACGTTTGGCATAAGCATCAATCAAGCAGTAATTGTTTAGGTATGTGGAAAAGATTTTGAGTCCTCTCAAATTTTGTCGCCAATACGTTATACAAGAAAAAAATGGCCTAACTGCACAGTTGCGTGGAAAAGTTATAAGGTTTATCAAAAAAATCTACGGTTTTTATCTAGTGTGGTAATTATTCTGACAATTTTGGACATTTTGTCTGGGAATTAAAGCTTTGGGATATTGCTGCATTGTTGACATATTTGCCCGAGACATGAAAAGTCTGGGAAAAATTGTCCAGATGCTGTCAAAATACGATCCACTGAAGTCATCCCTTTGTACGGGAAATTATCGCGTGAAGGGTAAATGAAGAAAAAACTACAAAACCTAAAAAAACTTTATAATTGGCCTTAAAGCTACTCGGAACGTTCAGGGCTTGGCACTGATATACAGACATATTTAATTATTATCTGTATAGTTCTTTTTCATGTTCTAATAGCCAAACGATTTTTTACGGAGAAAGGTAAAAGAACAAAAGTGCTGCAACTTTTTATAATAGTGGGATACTTTTAACTACTATTTCAAAATTTAAATTCAATTGTAAGAAAAAACTGGCAAGACCAATATGCTAGCTTTTTCAACGCGGGCACGGTCGGTTTTTGTCAAATTTTCGAGTTGGAGTAATTTTATACGACACTTCTTTTTTCCAGTTTCTCAAATACTTTTTAATTTATACAGTATCAAGTTATCTGAAGAGTGTTCATACCATGATTTATATGAACATAAAGTTTTTCAAATGTGTTGAGTTGTTCACACTGTCATGTTTCACTATGACTACAACAGAAAAATCATCTTGAATAGCGTTTGGGAAATCCAAGTTCAATAAAAAAAACGGCGAGGGTCTAAAAAACGAGATCTCAAAGGAAGTTGTGGCAAAATTTGCTGACCAGGAATTGAAAAGAAACAGTTTGCAATCTCTGTGTTTTTCAGGTGACGTTGGCCAGTGGCTCTCGGATGGAAGTCTCAAAATCATAGACAGGAAGAAACACATCTTCAAACTATCTCAGGGCGAGTACATAGCACCCGAGAAGCTGGAGGTTAATAAAGTTCATTGAGTTTAATGTTGTCAAGTTCTAATTTTCCGAAGGAATTGGTGAAAGTTTGCAGATTACTGTTTTGGCGGATTTTCAAAAACTTCATCCACTATGTTTCAGTCGACAAAACTGAGTATCCAAGCCATTTAGAAAACCCTGAAAAGACATAAAGTTTGCGCAGTGTAGCATACAGTCTTTACTGCAAGGGATGCAGTGTTATAGTACTTGTATGGAAATGTTCACCAAATAATTGCATTACACCTCAAAACTATTATCTTTTGATGTCTTCATAAAAGGATCGAAACAATGGTAGCGAAAGCGGGATCTTTTGAATAGCAAAAAGTTCCAATTCTTGCTGGGGGGAGGGGTAGGGTGGCCTTTGGAGAGGTTCTCTCTTCAATCCGACCCTGATCACAAGTCTACAATCATTAAAATGTGATTTTAAAAAGACTCATTTTTTCAATAAATATTTCAAGTTTTTAGGTATTTTTTGTTATTGATCAGGATTCATTGCTTACTGTATATCAATTTTTAGACCAAGTTAACACCCTCCCCCCCCCCCCCCCCCTCCGCAAAATCAGCTCGGATGGAGGATGTTATCTTGGTTCGAAGTAGCGAACTTGTAGTCATTGATCATTTTACATGCGGCTATTAGCAAATTTAATCTGAAATAAATTAAATGCTGGGCTGGAAGATAACAATTTGTTCTATCTGGGTCTATACCAAGTCTATATTAACTTGGTTTATAACTTTAACCCAATTTTTTGTTGCAGTCCGCCTACGTGCAGATTCCTCTCATAGCCCAAATGTTTCTGCACGGAGACAGCCTGGAGTCATGTACTGTAGCCATAGTAGTGCCGGACGAGGAGGTGCTTCGCTCCTACTGCGAGAAGAAAAAGATCGGAAGTTCCGGAGACACTTTCGAACAACTGTGCCGCCTAGCCGAAATCAAAGCCTCAATTATGGACAAGATAAAAGAAAAAGCTAAGGAAAACCAGTTCAATTCTCTCGAAGTGCCAAAAATGATCTTTCTGTCTCATGATCTGTTCACGGTTGAAAATGATTTGCTCACGCCCACGATGAAAAGCAAACGGCCTGCGCTGAAGAAATTTTTTGAAAACGAAATCAACGAAATGTACCTAAAAATAAACCAATGAAAAACGAAACTGATTGCTTTAAAAATATCTTTTACAGTTCCGTGTACCTATTTTTGTAACAATATTTTGTACAAACGTATTTATTCCAGATTTTGCTTAAATTTTGGAGCAATGATAGGTCATTTTTTGAAGAATTGAATGTATGAAACTAGTAAATGAAGTATAAAACTACACAACAGTCGAGATAAAAATGCAAAGTCGAGACTTCTCGGTATTTGATTGTACTCCTTTTTTTACCGAGATTTCTATTTAATTTAGATACCTTAACAGTTGGAGAATGCCTTGAGTAAAAATTTCAAATCATGAAGCTTTCAAACATTTCAATGATTTCGATGAAACTTTTTTCAAATCACGAAGACAGTCTTCGTTGCGCCATAGAAGCTAGATTCGAACCCTGATTTATCCCCAACATCTAGCAAATTTCAAAAAAAGTTTGCTAGTTTCTGACATAATTACCTATCAGATTTCTTGAAATTGCTATTTTCTTGTCTATAACCAGAGGCGGATCTTAAAATTTCTCAGGGGGGGGGGGGGGGGGGGGGGATCGTTTGTGGTAATTTTTAAAAATATTTTGTAAATTTTGTGGATTTTTTTTACTTAGACTAAATTGGTTTTGTGAGCTCTCCCAAAGCACTGAAAAGACCCTGTTTTTTCTCAAACTTTATGCGCTGCGTTTTTAGGCACTTTCCACCTCAAAATTATTAAATATTGGCGCGCGCCAAAGGTGCTTTACAAAAATTTAAGGGTCCTTCAGCCAAAAATGGATATCTCAAAATAGTACAAAGAGGGAGTCCTTGGGTGGGCAAGGGGCGAAATCTCTGAAGGCAGAGCGTTTTCGATGTTCGTTTGACTAAATTCGAAGAAAATGACAAAATATTTGTGCTCGGGGTAGTTTTTGGATCAAGTTAACTATTACCCCCCCCCCCCCCCCCCCCCCAAATCAAAATACGTTTTCTCTATGCTCAACTGGGTTGGTTTTGTATTTCTCAGAAATGTGTTCTGTCGCATTCCTATTGGTTGGCGTTATTTCATTTCGTATTCCTATTGGTTGACGTTATTTCAATAAATTTCATCCAAACAACCTCCCCCCCCCCCATTGCAATAGGGGGGATAGTTAGATCCTAGTTTTTTTTCTCCAGGTGAGTTTCGACTTTTTAGTGATTTTAGGAATTTTTTATACCATCTGAAAGGTAACGTTGCCTTGAGCTCAAATTTAATAAAATGTTGTACTTTTGATTATTTTACGTTATGTTATGGCAGTTTAAATGTTGCCAAGTCGGGACAATTACCGCGCTATAATTTTGCGCTATTAATGTGTAAGCGTCCATTTAATCTGGCTCGGTGTTTTTTGTTTCAACTTTCGAAGAAAACGAAATTATATGCTTCAGGTGGTTTTTTCAGACCAATTTCCTAAATAACTTGATGGAACCAGTCGGTCGCGCACATTTTTATTCTTGCTTTGAAGAAATTCTGCATCTCGTCGAAGCTGTTCGTTTTGTGTTTATGCTGATAGTGTAATACGCGAATCTTTTGTGCTCGGCAATCTAAACCCTCTACAAAAACTGTTCAAATGTTTTGGCGCTGTGAATTTCTGGTCAGCTAATTGCAAACTTGGCAATTTCTTTTCTAAATTTCAAAAAAATTTGCCGCTTCGAGAATTAATTATGTTAGAAAAACAAGTGAATGAATTGACGCGGATATCGTTAACAGCTCCATTTTTGCATATGCTTTTTTTTCCTGGCAGAAATGAATAGTATATTGGTTTATGTTGGAAGGGTAAAAATTATAGGACCCCAGAAGTGTGAGAGGTGAATTGAGCAGAATAAATTAAGAGCAGAAAGGGTCTAATTACAGAATAAACGAACAGTTTTGAACGAAAGTCTAGAAACATGTTCATTCGATGAAAGAAATAGAATACGCAGAACTTTTTGAATTTATGTTTAAAAAAAGTCAAAAAAAATGTTAAAAAACTAATATTCTTGTAGTACAATTTAATTTTCTACGTCTTTTCTGGCATTATAAGGCTTAATGAGGCGCTCTTCCTTTATTTTTATAATATTAGTTTGAGGAAACTTTTCAAAGGGTTTGAATTGAATCATAACTGCAAGGCTTTTATGATTTATCAGTCGACGCTCTTTCTCAATTATTTGCGATACTAATTTTGCGTTGAAAAAGAAAGAAAAAATTGGAACACAAACAATTGCAAAATACCTTCCCACTTTCAGTGGTCGGAGCAAACATTTTTGTGGACTTGAGTACATTTTTTCTTTGAAAAACGAAATGAATGAACTCATCAAGATCTCGTTATCAGCCCCAGTGATGGCAAAAATGCAAATTTTTTAGCTAATTAAATAGCTGAATCTTATATACTTAGTCATTGAAATAACTATTGGTACTATTGTTCCGACTTTCGTAACGATAGTAACGGAGTATTGTGCTCGGGGTTGGTTTTTTTTCAGACAAAATTCGACTTTTTAACTAGCCATTTTTTATGGAACTTTTAAAAATCATTTGAAAAAAAAAACATTGTTGACCTGAGCTTAAGCTTTAATAGACATTTTACCTGTGATCATTTTTTGCAAAGTTATGGGGGTTTAAAAATTGCCATTTTGGCCAATTTGGGACAATTAATGAGCGATATAATTCGCGCAATTAACGCGTAAGCGGAGAATTAACCCGTCTTGGAAATTGTTCCAAATTGGTTAACGGAAGCTGATTTGCCAAATTGATTTGTTTATGGGAGCGAAACCTATCACTTTGTATTATATATGGCGTGTGGGGGGATGATTTTCACAAAAATCTTAATTTACACAAAAAATTCATTTAGTTTTATTCATTTTTTTTACATTTAGTTTGTTTCAAGTTATTACTGCTCAATAGACCTTAAAAGGCAGCCGGAGCATTCAGGGCTTCACCCTGATACGAGCAGTCTTGTTATGATTTTGTTACAAGATGTCAATGGGGAGCAAAATATTTTTGAAAAATCTATTCATAGATATTTGTTGCTAGTTCAACTTGTCCTGAAATAAAAGGCAAGGTCGTTTTGAAAAAAAGTACACTGCAGACATAAAATAAGACTGATAAAAAAGACAACTAATTCTACTGAGTTCTTCTCAGATCATTTATTCACGAGAGAAAAGAATGATATGTTACAGAAGGTGGTAACTTCAACCATAGTTCATGTATTAAATTTGAGAACTGTAATGCATAGTATAGTCATTTTATTTTCTATCAGTCTTACATGCTGCTAAAATAGTTTTTCTAAATACATTACTCTGCCAGATAAAATGTTATTGAAAAACTCAAATTTTACACTTCTGCCAAAACTTTGGCTTTTAAAAAAAAATTGTAAACACTGTGCGAAGTATAACAAAAAATGATCCAGCTATTTAACTTAAAATTACCACCTATTGCAATATATCACCAAGAAAAGACCAATATACGATCTGCACAGCTCATCACGGCAAACCACTGTTGTGCCGCTGTTTAAAAACTTAATGCATTTTTAATTAATTTTCTGGGCTGGTTAATGTTACCTCACCCGCTAGCAGCGAGCACGTATCATGCTGTGCCTCGAACATCCGACCTTTCAATAGAGGCGCGGAGACATAGCCACTTTATTACAGCTCCTCAAGTTCTCCCTTGTAGCGTATCTTGTTTCATAAAATGTGCTTTTATGCTTAAATTGGGCGTTTTTGTTTAATTAATGATCGAACTCAACAACATTGGGTAGTTAAGTATAAAAAATTATAAGCAAAACAACTTTTTTGATTAACTTAACAAAATTAAATTAGGATATGTTAGAATCTACATAAAGTTGATTAACAGTTTCGGATCTCTTCAACTGTATCCACCTTGTGGAAAAGGGGACATTCATTGCAAGATATAAAACTCTCATATGCTTAACCGTTGATTTATTTCTTTATAGAGGGATATTCGTTACTAGGTACACGTGGTGGATTTAAATAAAGAGATCCGCAGTTTCTGAAAAAAGATGGCCTTTCAATTGCTGATAAGATATCTTTATCACTCAATTTTCGTTTTTAATTTGTAGAAAATGTTTGACTTTCGATTGGCTGTGTGAGATTCTAATTTTTCAATTGTTTGATATAAATTTGATACGTTAAATTTTACGTTAAGTTAAATTTTCATTCGTTTTTCGGGAAAAAATTCATTCAATCAAGAGTACATGTGATATATAAGGATGGTTATTTTTGAATCTACCGAATGCTGAATTTGACCAAAAGATTATGCTTAGTAAAATTACTTTCTCGTTTAGATTCTTTCTAAGAATTTGAAAATGATCAGTCAAAGTATTTTGATTTAATGATATAAGGATCACGCCGTTGAGAACCCTAAACTACACGGAAAAAAAACAACTAATTTTAGACCTGAAAATAATAAACAAGAACTTCGATTTCGATTTTTTTGGCGCTAAAAGCCATTTACTTTTGATGAAAAAAATTGGTTCTATCTATATAGCATCGATTATTGCTCGTAAGATGGCTGTAGAGAACTCGATTGTATACTTACGTTAACTTTTAGGTTTTTCTGTTTATAATGAATTTTATCAATTTTTGTCACTGCGCGAAGCTTGTTCAGATCGATTTTGAAAATTTACGCCAACCAACTGATGAACACACTTTTTTATTTTACTTTTATTCATCTGGAGTCGTTTTATCCTTTTTCGCCCGGAAAATTTTCGTGAATTTCGTGCGTACAAAATGTTATGTCTTATTCTCACCTTTAGCCTCAATCAACCATGAAAATCACTGGATGCAAAATTTGAATTAGTACAAAACAAACTGTGCCTCTCAGAAACCTATTGTAGCCTCAATCGATCATGAAAAACAGTGGTTGAAACATTTAAATTATAACGCAACAAATTGTGCCTCTCGAAAATCTATCCGAGCCTCAATCAATCAAGAAAAACACTGGTTGCCAACTTTAAATTGGACTGCAACAAACTGTGCCTCTCAGAAGTCCATTCTAGCCTCAATCGATCATTAAAAACACTGGTTGCAACAATTAGATATGAAAGCAACAAAATCTGCTTGTCAGAAATCTATTCTAGCCTCAATCGATCATGAAAAAACAATGGTTTCAACATTTAAATTAGGAAGAAACAATTTTTGGCTCTCAGAAAAACTTTATAG